TGCCCTGCTCGGGCAACAGGCAGCCAGCTCCTCGGTGCCCACCGCTGCCCGGCCCGGCCCCCGCCCCGCCAGCGCTTCGGCAAAGTCAGGGTAAGGAATGGACTCGAACCTGTCTCTGAGCTCCAAGGGCTGTAGCGCTACTCTACCTTCTGCTGGAGCCGGCTGAGGAAGAGCAGCCTGCAACCTGCGGCTCGGGTACGCGCCGCCGATCTGCATTCCGTGCCCGGAGCACTTTGCTGTCAGAGGACAAGCCGGCTCTGCGAGACAGACACAGCAAGTGCCAAGAGCTTAACCCCACCCCAAATAATTTGTTTTTTACTGTACATACGCTTATCCTGTAAATATTAATATATCTGAGTATATAGAGATTAAAGCCTTTGATGGAGAAGTTGCTGGTCGTAACTCCAACAGGCTTACTGCAAAGTTTAAGAAAAGCTGATTAAAAGCATATCGTTGGACATTAAGCAAAGAGGGACCCAACACCAAAGAGAATGACCGTCAGTATTTCTCTGTGCTAGAATAAACCTGGTACGTACTAACAGAGGACATCTGGAGATGAAGTGATCCAACACATCTCGTCCATCTCCAACTGCTACGATCCTGGATCACAGAACAATACAATACATCAATTCCTCACAATGACAGGTACTTATTTAAAAAGATACATTTTTCTCCCTGCAGACTTAGCTTGTTTCAGTGGCTGATTTTGTGACTAGTGCTACATCATGCCCTAAGCTACTGGTTCTGCTGCTTATCTAATCAGGTAAGATGAACTAGAAGTGAGCCAAAATTTCCTTACTTCATTAAATCATAGGTAGCTTTGCTGAAATGGGTAAAACTTTACCTTGTATCTACCACTGTGTACAAATAAATAAGCAGAATTTGAGCCAAAGATAGTAGGTAGGTCATAAATAGCTAACAATTTCCAGTGAACAAATTCAATACATTATACTCATTTAAAGAGATTGGAAACTCATTCTCTTACTCCAAAAATCAATGCACAGCTGTTGTACTGTCTATTGCATTACGATGCACTTCAGCTTACTGTCCTTAATGAGAAATGGTGACAAACTGGTTACAGGGGAGCATAGGACTGCTGTTGAGAGCATTAAAGGCTTGGGAATGGAGAGGACAAGGGAAATAGGCTGTTGAGCTTGCTTGAAATGTTAACTTTTAAGATACTTACATCAGACAGTAAAACCACCAGCCATACAAACATTTGTATTGTTGATAGTGCACCTGCATGAAGTGAACCATTTATTTCTATTATGTTCATGGGCATTAAACTAAATCATTTTTTTCTGCATCTGGACTTTCTAAGCTGTAATAAAATGGCAATCTGACTGGACACACTCAAGCATGCCCTAAAGAGTAAGAAACTAAGTAAAACTAAGATGAACAAGCACACAGTTTCCATGCTTAGGACTGCATTTGTTAATGCGTTTCCTCATACTGTGCATTCTTATAAAAGAAAATTGACCAGTGAAGTATAAACAGACTTTTCTCTGCAGTAATATTAACCCATACCAAGTAGGTACTTGTTTCCTGTTCCTCAGAACAAGTCTTGCACTGATACCACTGTACTAATAGCTTAACTAAATGCTGAAACCTATTCAGCCCACCTGCCAGTTGCAAGGACAGCAAAGTGCCTGTTGCTGGGGTACAGCCATGAGCAGGGTGGTTACTCCATCGTGCTGGGAGACACAAGTGATTATATGACTCATGGGGAAGCAGCCAGCCAATTCCTGTGGAGAGCGATGGCAACACACCTGGAGCAGAGCTGCAAAAAATAAGTTGGCTCCTATGACTGTACCAAATGCAGAAAAATTAGATAGGATCAGATAGAGGCCTTTCAGGCACTATGGCCAGGTTAATTTTATAGCACAAGGTATTTACAGAAGTGGTCTGTAGCTGAAGGACATTTCATATCGCTTATAGCAACATGGCAACAGTGAAAAAGATCAGTAATACATGTATTTGCAATTCACTTCCTATATTCTTTATAGCTCTAATCAATAAGCTAAAGTGTAGAAAATTACTTTTGAATTCTTATTCAAAGCTACTACTAGTGTTGATTGATTATTTTGTGCTTGTATGTTTTTACTTATACCATTGTATAGAGGTAGCTAACTGCAAGGTATCTACCAAGCACAGAGAGATAAAAAAAGGAGAAAGGAATAAAGCGTAACCACAGTTACCTCTACCTCAAAGCAGAGAAGACAAAAAGTCAGCACCAGATGGGAGAGAACAGCAGGTCACTTTGTTGCTTCAGTTTCAGAGGAGACCCTGAGAACTGACAGTACACAGCTGATGATTAACTGCCTCACATGGCTGCAGAGTACAAGGTAGTTCTGCATTTTGGGCTCATTTTCAGACAGTGGGATATTCCGGTAGGATCAGTTCTCAGTTGAGACCTAATCATGTCTCAATGCACACGTACTAGTTTAGTGGTGGGCCAAGACAGGCTGGGTATAAAATGCAGGTGTGGTCTTTCCAGCCTTTTACTCTAGCATACTCAGTAAACATGAGAAAACAACAAACTGAACCCGTTATCAATCATTTATCCTTGGTCTAGTGAGAAATTTTCACAACAGAATTCCTCATATTCATATTAAATACATTTATTAAGTTATATTAGTATGGAAAAAAAAATCCCAAGCCCCAGATTATACAAGATTTAATTTTATCTGAAGTAATCAAGATTCAGGAAACAGCATTTAATGGATACTTAAGTTTGATGTTACAGATCAGGAAACACATGCATCCTTAGAAAGAAAACAACCCAGAGCTTTGCTTTGTTCCTTGTGCCAGGGTCTAGTCTCAACTCAACATAGATGAATAGCTGGAAGAACAAACCAAACTAAAATAATAGTACCTTTTGTATTAGGTGTTCCCAGGTTTTCTTTTTACTTCTGTTATAAAAGCTCTAGCACTTCTGCCATGCTAAGGTAAATGCTTATGCCAACATAAAATAAGAGCCTAAACAGCTCTTTGGGTTTGGTATTCCCCACCCCCTCCATCTATAGCCTCCTACACTGCAGCCATTGCCAGCATATCTGAACAGTTTCTTATCTCTGTGTCATACATCTTCAGGCTTTGCATCATGCTATAACCAAATACGTGCACGAGCAGAATGTTTCACTTAAAAATCATTTTGGAATTTAAATCAAATAAACATTTCAGCTTTAATATTCCTGTCTATCACCAAAACATACATAACTTCGATCCTCCTATGCTTTATATGCTTCTATGTTTGAACAGAACAAGCAGTTGCTGTTGCTGGAGGTATAATAGGAGGGATCCTTTTATGTGTTCTCATTGGAATAACTGCATACCTGCTCTGGAAGAAATTTTGCTGGCTCAATTCATATGAAAAGCTCACTGGTGCTGTCAAAATGACAAATGCAAATGCTGTTTTTCGGGATCAGTCTGAAATTCAACTAGAAAGCACAAGGTATATATTTTTGGTTTTTAAAGCATACATTAATGGAAGTTTCTTTCAACTTGTAAAATCTCAAATGAGGGGGTCATCTAAATATATTCATGTTCATAAATAAATGAGACCCCCTAAATTACATAAAAACATCAGTCATGTTCTGTTTCGTTCCTGTAGGAAAACAGTACTTTCTTTAACTATGAATGCAATTATTATTTCTGATTTATGTAAGAGATAACAGATTCAAGCGTAACTGGTACATGGATAGCTTTATCTGCTACCTAGACAGGTTCAGTCTGTGTTCCAGTCTTTCCTGGTGGTCTTATAACGAAGCATCCGAGAGCCAAACACTAGGACTTTGGTTCAGAAAGGAGACTCTCTTAGAAAGTTAGTGCAGGGCTTTGGGGCTCTAAAACAGGCAGCTGCAGTTAATTCATCCTTTCCTTTGAAAGATCAATCCTAAAGAAGAATTAAAGGAAAAGGTGAGGGATCTGTCTGAAGAGTTAAGATCTGATGGACCTTTAGGCATTATACAAATTATATTAATTGCAGAACAACGGGTATTTATCTTTTCTACCTGTGCATCTCCATAGAATTTTTACAAGATTATGAAATAAGAACAGTAAACTTATCACTGTTACCAAGTTTGGTTTCCAAGCAGAAGTCAGTAGCTGCTGTTGTCTTGAGCAGATCCAGAAGTGTTCCATTTATCATTCCACCAACACTGCATGGGCAAGACTGGATTAATCGGATGAACGAAGAATATGTTCAGGAAGACAGTGACCCCTACATGATTCCTCAGTCTGGGCCCCGGTCATCGTTCCATTCTTTGGGTATGGCGTTGAAAAACGACTCTCTTTAGGGGTACTCTTAAAGAGTAAGTTTATTGTTGTGAAACATGTTTACTGGGTGTATATCAGACATCGTTAGACAGCACCAGCACTGAGCACTGTATGCATACATATTTTTTAAACAGAATATGGCCAGAATATAGTCACTTTGGCTACATTCCACAGCCATGTGCTGTAGGACCTTGTGCATATGGCAGACAAAGCAATCTCTCCTCTGTTTTGTAAAGGCATAACACATGAGTGTAGCTCGGGAAGTGCCTGATTGTTGTCCCCAGAAACAGCAGAGTGACCAGCTGCAGACTGCAACAATGAATACCTGAAACTATCAAGGTACAGTCACATGAATAGGAAAAAGAAATGTGGCACAGCCTACCACTACTCCTCCAAATTTGAGGGAAAAGGAATTAAAATACCAGGTTTATGCAAAATTTGATTGTTAATACAGAGATTAAGGTGATTTCTCCAAATACATTGGTGGTAATAAAAATGTCTCAATGGTCTTGAAACTAATCTGAGTGTTCCTGGTTTTTATTTCTTGAAGCTGGAGCTTACGTTGTAGGGACTGTTAACCCAGAGCTGTACAAATTTCCTGAAGACAAAAGCGAGACAGATTTTCCTGAAGGCAACATTGGCCGCCTCTGGTTCTCCGTAGAATATGAGCAAGAGTCAGAAAGGCTCCTCGTCTCTTTGATCAAAGCCAGAAAGCTGCAGCCTCCCGCTGATTCCTGTAGTCCATTTGTGAAAGTCTACTTGCTGCCTGATGAAAGAAGCTACTTGCAGTCCAAAATGAAATGCAAAACCCTTAACCCGCAGTTCGATGAAAGCTTTGTTTTTCAGGTACTTTTCCTTTTGGTGAAGCAGATTTTTGTTTGCAAATGCTGACTTGTCAAAGTACAGTATACAGTTTTGCAAAAATTAATTTTCTACAAAATTCTACCAAGATACCAGTCATTCCCACTGGAGATAAGAGTTATCACTGGGGCTTCTGGAGATCCTGGGCTACTGAAGTCTGTGGCCCCAGAAAAGATCCTACCTGGGGTCTGCATCAAAGTTGAGGATTCCAGAACTTGCTTGGGGAAGATGAAAACTCTAGTCTGAACTACGGCCGAGTAGTTCAGCTCAGCAGCTCTACAAGTCCAGAAGCAACCAATACTGAACCAACGCTTTCATGGCTTTTAGTTTCCTTGCTGTGGAAGTAGGCTAGAAACTAGAACTCATGAGGTATCTGGTATGCTATTTGTACAGTCCTGTAAAGCTAGAAGCTTGGCTCCCTAAGCCAAGAGGCTTTCACAGCAGATGTCACAAGACAAAAACTTTAGAACAAAAAGAGTTTGTGTTTCAGAACAACTGAAAAATGAGTGTTTACAGATTTCTAAACATTTCTGTCTGGAAGTGAATGCATTGTATAACACTAGATCTGTATGAGTTGAAAAAAACACCAGTTAATTTCACATTTCATGTTTAATTTCACATAGAATCATTCTATTTTAGCTTGTATCTCTAGACTTAGCTTAGCTAAAACTTTACGAAAATTAAGAAAGTTGACTTCAAATAATCGAAGGAAATCTCCACCTACCTTTAACTCACTTTGAAAAATTCTTCCTCTGAAGTCATGCTAGAGTAAAAGTGTCAGATGCTTTATAATTATTAATATATTCTTCCTTTTCCCATACAGGTTTCCAGTAAAATGTTGTTCCAACGGACTCTGAAGTTTTTGGTTTATCATGTCGATAAACAGAAGAAACATCATCTCCTAGGCCAAGTTGTCTTCCCTCTGAAAAATGAAACATTAATCGATGACAAGAAGCTAGTCATATGGAGAGATCTGGAGAAAGAAAACTTGGAGGTACGTGACAGCAGGCTGCTTGGCACTGTGGAACTTCTGCCATCTTACAATTACTCGAGGGGTACAGCAGAAGTAGTTGAAACAACATACGTCAAGATTTCAACCTGCAGATCCATAGCTGTTGCACAGGGATTATCCAACTGCCCAGGAAACAGTCACACCAGTTAGGAAACAGTTACATAAGAGAGCACCTTTTGTTATTTGCTTCTGTTCTGAACCAGTGAGAGCAGAAAAAAGGCAGAAAAGGCACAGAAATAGGCATCCCCTGGAAGAGATAGTAGTTCAAAGGTTCCAGAAAGCTGGTTTAATTGGTTCTATCAAATGTCACAACAGAATAAATAAAGCCATTACAATTCATCACTCATGTGAACTGAGCCCTTAGTGTGGCAGTTGTACAAAAGACATCTTTCCCCCTCCCCCATTTGTCTGTGTGAAGAGAGAGTTTGAGATATATTTGACCAGTGTTGTTCTGCTTCCAAAGCCTCCTTCAGAGTATGGTGATATCCAGTTCTCCATCAGCTACAATGACTACCTGGGCCGTCTCACTGTAGTGGTTCTGAGAGCAAGGGGATTAAAGCTCCAGGAGGAGAGCCATACTATCAGTAAGTGTGATTTCCTCTCTGATATCAGCTCCAGAATTCAGGTTTTAATTTGCTAGTTCCTCATCTGTCCACCCAGGCTTGCACTGAGTGACTCTGAAAAGAAAAAATAAACACACAGGTGATTTGAGTGGAAACAACCCATACTTTATTACTGGGGCAATTAGATTTTGATAGCTCAGTTCTGCTACATTTTGATTCTGTTTCATAATAAGTGGTTTGTCTCATGTCATCAGTAGCATTTTTTTTCCTCCTGCTTTAATACAGTGAGCAAAGACCCTCCTACAGAGAAGGTAGCATTTCAGGGGATACTGACATTAACTGAGTTGCCTCAAGGCAAAAGCCCAGAGGTAACAGCTGCAGGACAACTGCTTACACTGAACAGCTGTCCTTGGTAGAACTGAACTAGGAAAAAAAAAATCCCATTTTAGGACAGCCTAGCCAGTGTTCAAAGGAGCACAGCATTGACTCACAATTTTTCTCCCTTACTGCAGTGGGCATTTTCCTGGTACACCGTGCTTATGTGTCCCTGGCCTCAGAGTAATAAACATAGTAGTAGGAGCATGGAATCTCTTATTGCTTCACTGGAAATGAACAAATCTTTAGCCATCAATTTCTACATGCTTGTCACTAAATTTTATAGAAGGGTAGGGAAGAATGGAAGATTTCAAGCTGCTTTAGATCTCATTGCCAGAGACCTACTGAGTAAGACCACAACGCTTCAGGAAGCAAAGCAATTTTTCTTGTTGGTGTAGTTCTTGTTCCCACACTCACGCACCAATTTCGGTAGTATTTTCTAGAAAAGCAGAGATCATTGATCTCTTCCTCAGATTTCCTACCGAATCCCTTACTGCAGGGCTAGAAGTCATTAGTAAAACCTTTTGTCTAAGGTTTCTTCTTTGACCAGGAGACACTATTCCCCTGAAATTTATCCAATCCAACCACAGGCTGCAGCTCTATGATGTGGCTCCTCCCTCACAGCCTCCCTGTGTGGATCAAACAATCATGTGATCAAATATATGAAATTAACTACTGACCAAACAAACTAAGCCTTCAGAAAAGTTTTCATCAGATGAAGGGAAGGAATAGGAATGTAAGACCAAGGATGCAGGGTAAGAACATGATTGCTCTTTTTAACAGCCCTTAAGTTGGAAAGTACACTGCAAAACTGCCCCCTAAGTACTTTATGTACTCCCTGCTTAATGTTCTGCATGGCAATGCTGCCATGTATGTTTCACAAATCAGTCATGATTGAATTTTATACTTAATATTGACATCTGAAAGCAAGAAATTCCTTAAGCCTTCTCCCAGCTGCCTCTGATGTATTTTCCTCTTGAATATCTTTTTCTCCAAGGTGTGTATGTCAAAGTCTCACTAATGAACCATAATAAATTCATCAAAAGTAAAAAGACAGCAGCTGTTCTGGGATCTCCCAATCCAGTGTATAATGAAACCTTCAGTTTCAAGGCAGATCAGACAGAGCTGGATACAGCAAGCCTAAGTCTATCAGTGCTCCAGAGTATCAAGGATGAAAGTAAGCAATATAAATTATTACAGTTAAGATATCATAGATCTCTTAAATATTGCAGAGATACTTAAACCTGAGAGGAATTCCTTTTTAGCAGTCATGATAAAACATACAAAAGGTTTGATGTATTTCATAGGATGTTTCTTTAAAAAGCAGCACAAAACTTATTTGCAGTAAGTGTATGCATCTCTTTCAGAGGCCAAAGATAAACTTAATGGAAGACATGAATAAAGTAACTGTAGGCTAGTCACTAGCAGTAGAAAGTGCTGTACTTTTGTTTCATTCTGGTATCCTAAGAAAACAAGCTTATTCAATTACATTGTCTATATGTGTATTTTCCAACCTGCAAAATTTTGAGGCTGTTCACTGTTCCTAACAGAATTTGAAAGAGGAATAGGAATTTTAATTATCACATCAGTTCATCGGTAAGAAAGGAGACAGATTACAAACATCCCCGTTCCCTGGCAGAAAACCTGATGCTTGAAGTTGCCTCTTATTATGTCAGAGAATACATGAAGAAGTTCTGCTTAGAGAAGTGAATCACAACTCCCCATTTCCACTGCTCACAAGAAAACATTTTCCCTGCAGTGCAGATATGATCTTAATAGTGAAGTGCTAATACCCTCATTTGGATTTATACACTTCTTCAAAAATTTGTTTAGGTGAATTTTTGAGCAGGTTCTTTGGCTTTGAGGATTGGCAAGAACTAGTATTTCATCATTTTCATTTGTGGACAGCCAAACACTTTACAAACATTCTCAAGTTCATGTAAAGGCAGGTTTGAATTACTTTTCCCCCATCCACAGATGACAAGTTCAGGCATGAACTAACATGGGAGAGTGTGGTTAGTGGCAATCCACATATTGCAACTCAGAGCTATCCCACTAAAACTATTCTTTCCCAAGCTAGAGCATCATATGAATCCTACTAAGGTTACTGATGTCCAACACAAACACTTCCACAGTACACCTGCGATAGAGAGGCTGGGCAGATACAGATCTGTGTGCCTTAAACTGGTTCTAGTTTAGAGTGCAGGCAGTAGGGTAGGCCTGAATTGACTGAATACTCACTTACTGCAGTACCTTTTAATGCTGAATCTTAGCATGTAGAAACTACATAACTTGAAACCAAGAGTTAATTCCTTGATGAAAATTTTGGGTTAAAAATAACTTTCAGAACATGCATTAGAGAAATACAAGTTAATTTTCTAATTCAGGTAAGGATTTTTAAGAAGCAACTACAAATGCTAATCACAAACTGCTTGCTCTTTTCCCCAGAAACACATCTGCTAGGACATGTAGTAGTTGGGCCTTTCATGTACACCCACGGCAAAGAACTAGAACACTGGAATGAAATGATCAGCAAGCCCAAGGAGTTGGTTAAGCGATGGCATGCTCTCCGCCTCAGCACATAAACAGCATGGATAAAAAAAAATCCCCAATCAACCTTAAAATTCAAAAGCTCTCACTACTATTTTTCATAATCTAAAGGGTACAAAAATCTTTGACCATTTTACACTCTGAAGTAGACAAGAATAAAGTACGTAAATTCTTTCCTTACCCAAATGCAAATAGAAGACTTGGTCCCTGGTAGGCTGGAACTCTTATCTTTGCTCTCTCCAAAATATCTTTCCAATTTAATTAATATGTAACAGAGTAAACAAATCAGACAAACATGATCTCACTGTATTGTTACTTTGGCTAATAAATTCTAATTCTTGGTCATAAGTTACAGGCACAAATGATCATCCATCATGTGGATAGACCTGTTACTATCTAAAGGAAATACTATGAATGAGAATATATTTGAAAGGAATTGTAAGATAACAGACTCCACTTCACCTTATCCCGCATTTGAAATGTTACTTGGTACCCACAAGTCCGCCTTGCTAACTGCACCACTGGGTAAGATGAGCCTAGACTCACTACATTTAATTGAATTTTGCAGAATGTTCAACCCTCATTATAGCTCTGTCAAATGAATAATGTCAGCACCCCCAACCACAAAGAGCCATTTCCAAATTTTCCTCCCACAAACCCACTGAAACCCCATCTAATAGGCCCAACCCCATCCACATGTTCAATCTGGGAATGAAAACTATGTATGAACTCTGCGGTAACTATATTACTATGATAAAGCAATTTTACCAAATACATTATGTCCCTCTATTATTTAAATCATACCAATAAACACTGGAGATCTTAAAAGTAAACTGTTAAGAATCTTTCAGACAGGTTTACCACCTTATGCAGGAGGATGTGTGTGATGTACAGTGTTTATTAACATAAATACCTTTAAAGTGGGAAGTCACCTGTCTAGGTACACTAAAGTCTGAGTAATAAAATATTGCATTGTACTAATATGGTCTCTTTTCTTCAAGTTTCTTATATATTAACGTACCAAAACTTCCAGCTTGTGCGTTCAATACTTCCAGCTAAAGTCATGAAGAAACATATTATATGCAGTTACTAATGTGCTTGACTTTGCTCGAGGTCATCCAAGTGAAGTAAATGAGAAAGGTCCTTTTTGACTTTTCCTGAACATGACAGTAACTCCAGTAAAGCAAGAAACATTATTAAATAAGGGGTTACAGTGTTACCAATTGTCACATAACAAAGCAACTTTTTTTTACCTACTGCCTTTTAGACATCATCCACCTGATCTTGTGCTTGCGAGTTATATCGAGATGAAGGAGGACGAATGATTACAGACCTCTCAGTGCCTAACAGTGCTTCTTCTCCTCTAAAAGATTGTGTATTTTCAACCAGATATATAGCACAAATACCCCCATCCAAGAAACAGATACAAGATCATACAAGATGTGACACATTCCTCAATAATTCCCACTACTACTGACAAATACTGGAATTTCTAATCTTACAACCAAATTATTACCGAATTGTGGATGTCTTCCTCTAATCTGGCATATCTGAGAAAAACGCAGTCTCATACTAGTGAATTTTTCTGGAGAGAAAAGGAAACCAGACACTAAGTAAGAGTTTATGAAGATAAAAATATATTTATAAAAATATACTTTATGACAATTTACAAGTATTACAGCAGCAGTATATACATTTAGCAGACATTCCATACCAGTCCTTTTTTTTTTTTTTGTATAGGTTAAAATCAAAATCCTTTCTTATCGTTAAAGAGATTTGCTTTCTTCAGCTCATTCCGTTTTCTTCTGTTTGCCATCTGTATGTTCCTATGGTTTCTGTTATTGCTCAGTTATTGCAGAGGTCAGTGCTTTAAAGATAAGGATGAAAATTTAGCAGATGGAAATCCTTTTGCAAAGGATAGCTGTTTTCATCTAGCACAAAATGGCTTCTAATTTCCAACAAATAGGACGCTTCTGTATCCGCTAGCAGCAAATGACACAGATCTGCTATTATTGTGCCATAGGTTATATCTGAAGAGGGCACTGTAAAAGACAGAAAAATCCAACTTACTCTTTATTTTCACAATAGCCCTTAATGTTCAAGTTCCACCTCCATCAAAGCTACACTGAATTAGTGGAAGTGTAGCTCAATATCCAAATATAATATTAGCTATTGTTTTTAATAGTATTTTGAAACCAATGTGCTAATACTGTTTCTCATTAAACCAACACCTGTGAATCATGTAAAACACCTCTCAAGACAAACAGGATGTATCAAGGGAAGCCTGTCTGAAACACCGCTCAATGATTTACATCATGAAAGCATGTCAGCCATTTCTAGAAACTGCTCAGATTTTATTTTACATATAAGGAATCCATTTAGTTACTGAATACTTTGCTATATAATGTATAATAAATGTTCATACTATCTGACCTCTTGTTGATACTTCAACTCTGAACTTGAGTTTGTTGGACAGCTACTGGGTTTTTTTCTGTAAGTCTCATACAGTATGAGCAAACATCATCCAGAGGAATCTCATCCAAATTCTAAATTGTCAATAGTTAAAAATTTTACTTCCATTGTGAACTTTGCTGCTTGTTTCTATCACAAGTAGTTCATGAAACAGTACCTACTAATCTCTTCAGCCAGTCTGCAGGAATATTGAGGAAGATTTTTTCCATCAGCTCAGACACCACATGAACGTAAATTTCATATCCTTCATCTTCTACTGTCATCACAGCAGGTCTAAAGCAGAAACCAGAAGACTTCAAAGTTAGCTGCTATGTCTTTTTGGAGCAAAGTTTCTGAAAGTAATGCAATGTAATACTACCCTCCAACATAGTATCAGGAACTAGAAAAACTAGAAAATCTGTATGCACTCATCTCCGTCAAATCTGTAGTGCTGGAATGAGTTTGAGGTATATATACTGAACTTACTACTCAGTGTTAAAATAACTTCAAAAGCTATCAAGTAAGCCTTACTTTCAAACAACTGGACAAAACAATGCTTTAGCAGTAGCCTTTTCCTGGAAGACAAGGAGAACTGCACTGTTATGAAATTAGTGTTATGTCATTTATGGCTTTGAACTTTATAAATTTAAAGTATAAATGTGAATATGCAAGTATATGTACCTATAAATATACAAGGGGTACACAGAGATTTGAAATGCAAAGTAGGGAGACAAGCTTAGGTTTATCACTTGGAATTGTATCATTTATAGCAACGCCACTTAATATTGTCTGTCTTAATATACTAGTTCATAGCCACTACATAATACCAAGGTAGTATCTCCTGTACTGTGACAACCACCAAATGATTTCACATACCACTCAACAAGTTAAAAATCCCCTTCCTGGAAACCATTTTCTACATATAATATGGTCAACTGAATTCCTATTAGGTCTGAAATGAACCTGCTTAGGGACTGCTGTCAAACAAGCACTGGTCTTTTCCAAATTTTGCTGTTTCTCATGATTCAAAAGTGATATTGGATAATAAGCAACTGGTAAGAAGTGATCCTTTTTTTAGTACAGGTATTCCCTGCATTTCACTTGTTCTTCTTCTTTCCAACCTGTCACTATTGATGTCCTATGTTTTTTTTTTATATGTTTTTTTTTAATTGTTCCCCTCAAAATAAATCCTTACTATTGGTTCTTGCTGTGCTTCTGCAAGATGATGATACCTTAGCAGTCCTATATAGTGATGTTCAACAGGCAGTTTCTGCTTGCTTTCAAGCTTGAGTGATTTTACTAAGCCTAATCATTCATACAGCTGACGCAGCTTCTACGCAACATATGCTCTTTGACTGTCCTGAGACTATTTACAATTTGACCTGTATCATCAGCACCATCACAATCCCCACACTTCAGACAATCTGCACTGCTCTGATCAAAGGAGGATGCACTGATTCTATCCTGACCATCCCTCAGAAGAAACTAAAATACTAAACATCAGGACATATCACAATAATGTAAATCCTGGTTATAGCAACATTGGAACAGTACCAAAACAGCATATGTTAAATGAAGTAATAATACAAGGCACAATCATCTTCAGTGCAGAACTTTTCAAAAGGAGATGCTCCAAGAGGATAAAATGTGCTCACTGCAGAGATGGTAGAAATGAAAGAAGGACAGTCACTTCAAGGGACTAGCAGAGCTGCACTGTCAAATAGGGCAGTCAGTACTGCAGTACATAGACAACTGGAGAGTGTTATTAATAGACTAATTTAGTTAGCATGATGCACAATATACTTAACAGCACTAATCTAAATGCCTGTGAGGCATGAAGGCAAATGACTGCAAGTACACCACTTTCCCAGGGGGCAAATCATTTGACTTGCCATCCATTGATCTAAAAGCTACTGTGAAATTTCATAATTTCAGTGATTAAAAGAGGTAAGAGAATACCATGTCTGATTATCTATGGGATTACTTCAAATCTGTTGGTCTAGAAACCAAGGCCCAGACTACTGTAGTTATTAAAGACTGCTGGCTCCCTTCATAACAGAGAGCTTAGGAGTACACTTTCATGCTTTTACACTTTTAACTACACAAATAATTGTGGGCAATTGCTATTTTGTTTCTGAAGAAACGTATTTTGGTTTAGACAATTTATGCTGAAGTACATGAAAATTACTGACTTCAAGAAATACTAAATTAACATTTTGGAAACAGTATAATTAACGTAAACATGTTTGCAGAGAAATGTTCTAAGAGATGTTGCAAAATTTAAAGCTTTCAAAACCATAGGCAAATGTGGTCTACAAAAGTGATGTGTCACAAACCAAGTGATGCATTAGAAAAGATTAATTTTGCTTTATTATTGGTTATTACACTCTGACTACCTGTTTCTCAGTTCATACTCTGTTCTCCAGGTCATCTAAGTCTTCTTTCAGATAATCTTATTTACTTCAACAGGAATGAACTGTCATGGTGAGAAAGAAATTTCAACAGTCTTCAAAACAGTGCCTAACACTTAATTTTCTTTCAGTAGTGCACAGAAAATGCAATTTTGTGATTAACTTAATTCCTTAAATACCACTGTTTTTAACGTGGTGAATTTAAATGATTGTAAACCAGTTAGAAACATATTTAAGCATATAGCTAAATTTCTCTAAAGGCATAAATAAATAATCCTTAGAGGCTACTGAGTAAATAGTCTTGAGTACCTGTATACTAAGCTGGTGAAGCATGCCAGTCAAATGGGC